ACTCCTACCATGGTTAATAAACTGAAGTTTACTAAATGACTTCATCACTTAATGAACTAATAGCTTACTTAACAAACTAAACCAAAGTCCCAGTGGTATTTCATGGAACTCATAACTCACTGCTCTGAACGAGCCAACATTGCATGAGTGAAAGATGCCTCCAAGCTCAGGTGTCCACAACACGATGAGAAGTATGGAAAAAAAAAGCAAAATCAGAGCTGAAGAGAGAGATGTGCTGCTGACAGGATTTGTTTTTTCTGTAGCATAGTCTGCCTCTATCTAGATGGTGGTAAAAGAGAAACATGAAGGGGAAATGCACATGCACAGGGCTCTAGCAGAGCAGGATGACTGCTTCTAGTTAGGTGATAGGAACCTCACAGCAGAAATGGTATAGTTAAGATGTTAATCTAAATGTTCCATCAAACTGCTCAGAGATAAGAGTCACATCTGATAAAAGTGCATAACTGTGTTTTTTTTCCTGTGAGTATTTCACAGTAGGAGCAATGATGTTTATGTACTGTATGATTAAGCACTGTGACCTTGGGAAACGATGAAGTTTGGTTTTGTTCTTTTAAGCTCCAGACATTCAAGTTCGACTTCTTTGGTACCATTTCATCTTCAAGGGAGGAAAAGTCAAAGGTGGAGATCAAGCTCTGGATTTTAGAAACAGCAGTTGACTGCTTCTCAGAAAAGGCAGTTTGTTCAGTGGTTGGCTTCTCCTGCTGACACTTGCCTACCTGCTTTCACTGCAGTGACAGATAGACTGAAAATGCAGTGTCTGAGCACACAGGAGAATTAAGATTGTATTTAATAAAATCACAGGCATTTTAACATGGCTTCTGTGCCTTAAGAAAAGTCTCTAAAGAGTGAAAAAAATGGAGAAATGCCACTGCTCTGTTCTGATCTCACAGGCTGTTTGCACCAAAAAAAATGGCCCTTCCAGACTCTGTCATGCTGGAACCTGCCCACCTGGGACCAGTTCCCCCTTTGCATTTAGACAATGCCATTTCAGCCGGAGCATTATGATTCAGCTGTTTGCTACCTGTGCAAAAGCTAGGCTGAGCAAGTTAATCCATCTGTGTGATGCAAATAGCAATGAAATTGGTCTGGTTTGCCTAGAACAGGAGTGGGAGGCTGTGTGTACTGTTTAGCATAGATATTAGGTGGCATGCCGGAAAGATTTTCTGCAGTGCTGAGATTCTTGAAGAAAGACAGAGAAGGAGATAGGATAACCTTCTTTTGAGTTTCTTTTGTGTATGTATGTGTGCGTTTTCTTCTCCAAACCTGAGCTGCTGGCTTGAAATTGATTTATTTACCTATTTATCTATTTTTAAGCCCATGCAGTAACTCCCAATAGACTGAGGGATGAGTCATGCACACAGCTCTCAGATGCAGCGTGCATTTCCTCTGCTGGCTCCAGCTGCACGGACAGACCAGAGCCCAGGAAAGGAGGAGCAGAGAAGACCACTGTCACTTAAGCTGGGGTCTCTGCCAGGGGCTCATCAATGGGTATCAGCTGAGGTTCACACTTAGATAAAGGACAGGAGCAAGGTCGTTGAACTGGGGAGTCAATGTTAGCAGCTCAAGCCCTCCTTCCACCCATGAATATCCTCTTTACACAACTCCTGATGAGTAGAGAGCAGAGTATGCCTGCCTTACATGACTACAGGGATACAGGCAGAGCAATTCCTTGAGCAAATTTTAATGTAAATCATTAAATAGGGTGAGAAGGATGAGAAAAAGAAGTAGAATTTTGTGGCGATTTAATGTGGTGGAGTTTTGTACCATATTGGTATTTATCTGTCTATCATCTATCATCATCACATTGATTTTGCACAGAGAAGCTTACACTAAAAATTCTGTGAATAAATCTTCTTTAGGAAAAAAAGAGACACCCAGTCTTCCTGTGAAGGACTGCTACCTTGTGTACAGCTCTTCAGCTGACCAACACAGTATCTGATCTGCAGCAAATATCCACATTATCTGTAAATGCATTCTATGTATTTCTCCAAACTGAAGTTGTTTAATTAAAAATAGCAAGTACAGTCCCAGTAACCATGTGGGAAAAGTCTTGGCGAAGCACAGAGGAGGGCCTCATGACCTGGGCTGGCAAATCCTCCTTGCTGTTTTCACAAGAGGTGAAAACCATTCCTGAGCGTTGCAAGGTCAACCAGTTAAATATCAAATGCGAGTAAAGCACTGACTTGTAAAGGAAACTCCAGCTGAACCACTGAATTCCCAAACCATGTGTGTATTTTAAATATCTCACCTCTTCACAGAAAAATACCATCACTGTAAGTAAGTTCTGCTATGGCTTTTGTAAGGGACTCTGGTGTTCAGGAACTTGAGCTATTGGGATAGCTTTTGCGATATGCGGTGAAGTGCAATATTTGAATCTGACGCACGACTTCCTGAGACATTCTTCTGCACTGAAACTTTCCTCTTGCATCTGTCCTTACCTCTTGGGTATTCACAGACTTATTTATTTTTCACAAAAAATCAGGCTCTGATCAAATCCTTAGGTCAGTTAACGTCATTAATAAAATCAAGAAGTCCTTTTTGGCTCTATGAAATCTGCGTAGCACTGAAAAGTGAGTTGTTATCTGAACTGTGACAATTCAGTCTTAAAGTATGCTCTTCACTGGTTCCTGTTTGAAATGAATAAGCAGAGGCTTACAGGCTTTTTCCATGGAAGTTTGCCATTTCAGGATATACTCAATGGAATTTTTATCTTACACAAAGTTTTATAATGCATTAGACTTTTTTTTTTTTTTCCTAATGAAAACACAAAGGCATTTACAATTCAGGTAGTATTTATGTCATTCCATATAGTCTGTATTTCAAAAAAATATAGACAACCTTTGTAGTCACAAATCCAGAACTTCCTATTTGAAATGATAAAATGCTTACTGTTTGTAATGTTAAGTATTTTAGCCAGGGTTGAATTTATGAACAGTCTCATTTGTGTCTTCTTAACTCCATGTAAATCTATGTGCATATATTAGTTGAAGGCACATTTGGAGATTTATTTGCATGAAAACTGCTGATGAAGACATGTCAAAATAAGAAAGTTATTTAAAGACAGCTATAGTAGGATATCTCCCTCTCCAGGATGTTTGTTAGCTCTGACAATTGTTAGTTAATTTTGTCTGGCTGTTTTCATGAATCTTTGAGTTCCAACAAAAGCTAATAAAACCAGCTATGAAAGCTTTAAATATAACTACATTTCAGTGAATATTAATCAGAGGAAGACTACATGCGTAATGCCAGTACAGAGCCATACACATTTGTTGCTTTGTGTTGTGCATTCAGAGAAGACTAGTTCCCTCAACAAACCTCCATATATTTGAACTGTGCTTGCCCAGAGTTAGGGTAGATTACACAATAAATGTGATCATCAACATCCATTCCAGGGAATCTATCTAGCTGCTGACCTCTACATGTGAATACATCCACATAGCCACCTACCAACTATTCAGTGTGACTTGGCTTTTTCATCACTAGTTCTTCTGTTTTTTGGAGTCCCCTCAAAAACACTGCAAAATGTGATGATCTTCAGCCATGTTGACTGACACCTTCCCTGAAAACTTTCTTGGGAAGAAAAGTTACTTCCTCTGACGCTTCTATCTCCAAGCCTAGTCTACTCGTAAAACCTGACCACATTTGTAGCCCTAATTAGTAAGGATGCTAGAGGAGTTGCCACCAAACCTAGAAGACCCAGGATGCTGCCTTGTGGCTGCTGTGTCCAGCCAGGAGCAGTTCCAGGCCCAGGTGATCTCTCCATCCCAGCCCCAGGGGTGCTGCTGCTGTTCTTTCTGCTGGCAGGTCTGGCCTGTAGAAAGACAGACACATACAGGTCCCAGGTGCATCTGTCCACACAGACTGCCACGCATGCAGAATATTGTAGGCAGCAGCTCATGGTTTGCTTAATATCTGTGACTGAACCCTGGGTTCACTAACCTAAACCACTGTGTCACGGCAAAAGTCTTTCCAGATGTGGTTTTCCTCCTACTCACCAGCTAGTTCAGCTTGAAGTTTGCTAACAGATTATTCATACACACAAACGGAATTAAATTCACTGAGGAAATAAAAACATAGGTTTATCCAGTTGCTTGCACTTAGGCTTACACACTCACATGCACCCCAACATCTCTGGTTGCTGCCACCTCGACCTAAGGCTTTGATGGCTATGGCATCTCCTCCAGTTGCTTGAACCTCCCAACACACAGTCCAAGTCCCTCTAGTTGCTGGCACACAGACCTCCTGCATTCCCATCCCTTTACACGATAACATCTAGACCCAGGTGCCCTAAGACCTCTGGGCTTGACTCTTCTGTATGTCAGTTTCTGCAGTTGCTGGCACCATCTTCCTCTCTGATCCATCATGACCATCCTTTTTCCTTTGGACCCTTTAGCCCTTCTTCTACATGTCTCATAATAAGTTTTACATAAACTCACAATCCCCTTCTGATGGCCGATATCCCAAATAGCCTCAAATATCCCATAATATTTGTGTTAGTTGTGTTGCCCATTCTTATCAACTGCTATTTGTAGTTCAGGTTGACATTCTTCAGGGATATGCCTTAGCAGTTCCTTCATCACCATCAATCATCAACGGGTCCCCATTATCATCTCCGTTGTGCTTGTGTGTCTGTACGGTTAATTTAGCACTTTCCTCATTACTTGTTATTTATTTTATATTTACTAGATCGAACGCAAATGACTGAATGAAACAGATGTCCGCATACTCTTACACTACTGACTGACAACTGCTGCAGAACTCAGAACGGTTGGCTTCCTCTGAATTACAGAGTTATGATGGGCATCTCCATGGTAAAATGGCAAACCTAGACTTTTCTGTGTTGAATGAATGTCAGGATGCAGTTTTGCATGTTTTTTTTTCATGTTCAGGTAGACTTAAAACACAGGACAGGTCTGTCAAACAACACATTTCTATCTTTCTCCATTGCATGGCAACACAAAACATTGCCAGAAATTTCATAGATGTTAGCACAGTATTTTATTATAAACCATATTTTCAGAGGGGATGCATTATTTTCCGGACTTTACAAACCTTTATCATGACAGCTGACATAAAAGTATCAGGAAGAATGATGATAGTTTAGGTTTTCCAGTGATGTTCATTTTATGTCTTTGATACTTGACTGTATTATCTTCAGAACGATGTTTTATTCTAAATGAGGGGGGGAAAAAAAAAAAGAAAAAGAAAACCGCATCTTAAAAGACAAGTGTGCAGGGAAAGGAAATACATGTATAATGTAGAAGCATTACGTTCAAATAAATCAAAATAACATATTGGGAGGACATAAAGTAACAGTGACAGTATCTGTCATTGCAAAGAAGTACTACACTTCAACAGGTCATCACACAAAGGATATTAGGACCACATTCAAACTGCTCCCTGGAAGGCTATACCTTTTCAATTAGCTTAGAGAATTTCTCCTGGCCCTTGTGAGTCCCTTTAATCTACTCTTAGACTGAATCACTGAATCTAATCTTCTTGCTATTTTCAAGATTAAGACATTGATTGACATCCTCCAATCTACTTCTTACTGAATTTGACTACTTACTTTAAAAAGGGAAGATACTTACTTCTTCGAGAGTCAGGCTCTCCACTTTTTCTTTTTGCTTTCCTTCTCCTTTGCTGTATTTCTTTTTAAGACACACCACAGTTGTGACAGTGACAATAAGCATAACAACGAATACTGTTATGGTCGAAGAAACAGCAATTATGGTATTTTCTTGAGTTGTGCCTTTCCTTTCGCATTTTTCCCCCATGTACCACCAGTTATTCCCTGCTGGACATCTAGAAAGTAAGGGGACATGTGGTATCACTTAAGAACAAAGGTATAGAAGGACTCCTTAAATATTTAATTTCTGATGCTCTATCTCCCAAACCATAATGAAGTTACCTTAAAACAGTTGTCTATTTTAAAGCTGCCTTGGGTGGCCCACTCTCCTTACATATCTGGATATACTGTGCCTTTTTTCAGCTTTCCACTGTTTTACTGGTTGTCCCTGCTCTGAAAGAAACAAAGGGAGCCATTGCCAGAAAATGTGAGCTCCAGCCTGATTATTCTGACTGCTTCAGGTTTGGCCGCAGCTGCTGCTACAAAATGGCCTTTTGCTACCAACACACAAGCCCTCTGGGTGACTCAAGTTCACTTGCCTGCTTCCTTTTCCTTTATGTTTACAGCACTTCAGTTGATAGAAAACTCACTTTCTGCTATGCAAAACTGACACCTGTCCCAAGGGCCGCTATCACCTAATAGTTGCTTCCACTATACTAATTGCCCTCATATCCTGATGCAAATTTGCCTTTTGACATGCTCAGCTTTTAAACAAAGCTCTTCTATCTTCATTCAGTCCATTTAAAAAAGCTTTTATAGGAAGGAGTTGAATAAAATCCATGGGGAGCTTGACCAGAAGCCTTACCCTGCTTTTATCCCATCAAGCCACATTTATCACCCTCCAAGAAACTTCACTCTCCTGACTCCTCTTGTGTTCTTTGCCTTCTTAATTCTCACCTTATGCAGCAGTTTGAACTCACAAGATAAATAGAGTGGAGAGCAGGGCAGACTCTCAAGGCATCACTGATCTGATCATACCTGAACCATTCTAGGACAGACTTGGCTGAAGATGCTTGCATCACATTGCATTTTCCATGCTCAGGAATTCTCTGTTAGTAAGTATGGTAAATTCTGAACATTCTCATTGCCAGAAGGGGTTTGTTTTCAGATTTTAAGAACTTGTGTGAGCAGTCTCTGCCTTCCCCCAAAAGAAGGCTAAAGTATCATTCTAGAAATCTTCTGGTTGTGCACTAAACACAACCTCCAAGCCCTGATTCCTTCACCTTATTCAGCATTTCTGCTAGTTCAAACAATTTGTTGTGAATGATCTAACTGAAAAAAACATCTACGGGCAATACTGCCAAGTTCACATCTGCACCCATCTTTCAATACCCTTGTCATTCCTTATGTTATTGTTTTTATAGTTTCTGTCTAAATCATTTATTCAGAACTCTGTGTTTGGCCCTGAAAATGAATCCATTGGCAGTGCACTGCAAGGCTGTTTGGGGATTTAATGTGATCAAGCTTAAATAGATTTATGTATCACATCCTCCCTGGTTTTCCAATAGAAAATCAGAGCGGAAACTGACTGCTGGTTACACACTTCTCCAGGATAGAAAGTAGGTCACATAAGCACTTGAGCTACAAATAGTCCAGAGATGTCAGAAAATAAATCTTTTCATAATTCCAAAATCAAGCATAACATTCAGCATGACTCTTTTATTTCCATCTTCTTGGAACAGCTTCTTGACATTTTCTGATATTTGTGACCTGTTTCTGATGTGCTGCACAAGCCCCTTTGCAGACTTGTTTTTTAAAAGATTTCTAAATGGGGAGATAGAACACTCAGTGAGTCATACATGGCTCTCATTGCTCCTGGCCTTTAGACATTTACCTCTCAGCACTCCCCTATTCTACCTGCCTTGGCACAGCTTCATAGCACATTGTTACTATCTTCAGCCTCAGAGTTTGTTTGAGAGCTGGAACAATGCTAATCAGCCAGGTGGGCTGCATAAATGAATCAACAGAGGAATAAATTAAAGTTGTTACACATTTTCCTGCAGGGTAAATAGTCATTTTGATCCTCAGCCTTCATCACTGGTTTCAAAGACAAGTGACTATACTTTGTTAATTCATGACCATGATTTGCACTACGCTATGCTTCTATATAAGATTTAAAACAAAGTTATCCTACATACATCCTACATGCCTGGGAACTCTTAACGTATTTTCTTCTGATATCAGAATTTTGTTTCAACTACATTTGTATTTAACTGTTTTGCTATAGAGACATCTGTGGAGATGCACAGCCCATTTTATCACACTGGACTATTACTGAAAATAGGAAGTATATTTATATATAACTTACAGGTAAGTCAGAATGCTCCAAAATATTCAAGTGTTGTGGATAGGAATTTTTTTTTTCCCTAACTGGTCTTATGTCACTTGCAGTAAGTGGCAGGAAATATTTGCCTCAATCAGTTATAGTCTCTTCCTTTTGTTAGAAACAAAGACTTATTCTACTAGAAGCTTTCATCACTCCAATTAAAATTGGATTTGAGAGTGAATAAATACAGTTACCTGCACACTGCTTTTCTATCTACAATAATGCAGACACCATCATTTTCACAAGGGTTGTCTAGACAGGCCTCTGGTGTATCCGTCTCTGGCTCTTCAGTCAGGGTCACAAGGGATGTTGTGATGGGTGTTTTGGTAGCAGTAGGTCTATCTGTGGGTCTGGTGGTGATGGTGGGCTTGGTGGTGGCAGTGGGCCTGGTGGTGGCAGTGGGCCTGGTGGTGGTGGTGGCAATAGAGGTAGGTCTGACAGTACTGACAGCAGAAGTATTTGCAGTAGTGGTGGGTGACACGCTTGGCTGAGCTGATACTAGATGTGATACATCTGCATGAGAAAAACACAAGAAACAAGGCTTTTACTTTATCTATCTCCCCTTTTTGATCTTAGATTCTAATGATAAGTTCTAATAGTAAAGATCAGAGAATCTTTGAACTGTTTTACGTTCCTCTGCTATAATGATAGCCTTTTCTTTTACCTTTCAGGAACATTATGTATTTTGGAAGGGTCCTTGTAATTTAAAAAAAATTTAAACAGACAATTTTATTCAAAATACTCTTTTCAAAATAATTTGCACAGGAGTAGTATCATTTTGTACACTTAAATTTTAACCTATCTATGAGATAATGGATTAAAAAAAGAATGTATCTACCCACACATCTATTTAAATACATAATTTGACTTTAGATATATGAGTAGTACCTGAATTGCTCATAATGTAAAGTACATAATGTGTATTTATATCTACAGAACTGATGACTTACTATGTGACACTATGTACTTTTCTGTATTATAAAGAATATTAGCTATCATCAATGTTTACATACCTTCCGTTGTTAAAAGAATATAAACACCACCTTCTTTAATAAAGTCACGGCTTGTAAGTCTCTGATGAGTTAAGAATGCATTTGTTCCACGTCCTGGACCTCTCATGAATGTAGTTCCATTTGGGAAAGAAGCTGTTGATCCCACTTTATCTGGCCTATCCCAAAAATAATTTGGTGAGGAATCTGAAAAAAATGAACTGAATATGAGTGTGGGACTACTCTAGATTTTTTTTCTCAGTAGGACTCCTTCATTCTCATCTAATTTTTGCTGCAAAGTAATGATAAGCACTCTCTCTACAACCAAGACAGATTGTGTTCCAACCTTGCCTGTTTCTGCTCATGGATATAATGGAGATGGAAATAAATTACCTGAAACTCAAGGAGCAGAAACAGTGCTGAACCTGCCTAAAATAGATTCTTTTTTTGTCAGAGATTCCACACTAATGAGACACAAGACAAAGATCTGTGTGGGTTCGTCCAAGGTACTGAGCATCTGCTGATAGGGATGGAGGACAGAGAGTACCTGAACAACCCAATTGGTCATAGGTTGTTATTATCCCCTCCATCAAGCCCTGTGATAAATCTCAGAGTTGAGCCTGACTCTATATTGAAATATGTGACTGAGAGAAGAAACTGCTTGCTCCAGCACCTCAGCTGGTCAGAGAAAGACATAGTTAAAAGGCTTATCTTGGGAATCTGGGGCTACAAGCAAAACGTGAACAAGGGAGAAGGGGCTGAGCACAGACAGACTGCAAGTTCTCAGCATCTCAGAAGGAAACAAGTTGAGTGCTGTAACCACAACAGTAGAGAGCACAGGGTAAATGCCATCCATCTGTGGGGAGACTGGCATAATCATCCTTCATATACAGAGGTGATCTTTCTAGATTACCTACTTTTTTTTTTTTCATGTAGAAAACGTCATTAAAAAAATGAATGTATGAGGGCTGTTCTGTAAGTAATTGTTGGTGGTATGGTAGTAGAGGTTGAACCTTCCCACCAATATTTCATTACGTTTTGCTGTCATGTGACAGACAGCAGCAGAGGGGCAGTCTGGCAGAATGGTGTCTGACATGAAAGTGCATATGAAGCAAAGGTGTGGAACTGAATTCCTGTATGCAGAAAAAATTGCATCCATTGACAGTCATTGATACTTGATGAATGTTTATGGAGACCAAACAGTGGATGTGAGCACAGTGAAGTAGTGGTTGGTGCTTTTCAGCAGTGTCAGCAGTGATGTGTTGACAATCCATGTTCCAGATGGCCACACATAGCTGACATACCACAAATGAAGAGCATCTTCATCAGCTTATCCATGTGAATCAGCAGATTATGACCAGGGAACTGCGTACAGAGCTGAATGACAGCTTCATTGCGTTGGAAACAATGGTGGCAATGTTGGAATACTGCAAAGGTTGCACCAAGTGGGTCCCACAAATGCTCACAGGAACAGAATAACACTATATACTAGTTTGTCAGAGTCTATTCAACCAATACAAGGCCGAAGGTAACTAAATACTGGATTGCATGGTTATAGGTGAGGCAATGTGGTGTCATCACTATAAATCAGAATCCACAGTCCATGGAGTGGCAGTGACATGAATTACCCATTAAAAAAAAAATTCAAGATGCAGCACTCAGCAGGTATGGCACAATGATGGGCACTGTCTTTTGGGACAGGAAAGGAGCAATCCTGGATTTCCTGGAACCTGGACAAACCATCAGCTCTGACAGCTACATCATGACACAAAGCTGAAGGCTCGAACTTCCAGAGTCAGGACAAAGAAAAATATGTATTTTCTCTTGCAATACAATAATGTCAGTCCCCACTCCTGTTTGAAAATCATGGAGTACATTGCCAATCTTGGCTGAACTGTCCTACCACACCAACCCTATAGTTCAGATTTGGTATCTTCTGGCTTCATCTCTTCAGGCTGATGAAAGATGGAGTGCATGTGGAACATTTTCCTAGCAATTATGTCATCATAGCAGCTGTGAAACAGTGGGTCACCTCTACTGGAACAAATTTCTGTGAGCATGGCATGCAGGCTCTTGTTCATTGCTGGTGCATGGCTAATAGTGGTGACTATGTTGAAAAATAGTGTTTTGTAGCTGAGAACTTGCTCAATCTAATAGTGTCACTGTGCTCTTTCTATCTGTTGTAGTTTCCATGGAAATAAATAGGAGGCATTACTTTTGGAGCAACCTATGTAAATCAGGGTTTTCTTTAAATGTATCAAAGAAGTAGACATTTTAGTGCCTTTTTTTCCTGCATTAATGTTATAGTCTGAAAGCCCACAAAACTAATTCAGTAGTGAAGGTGGTTTCTTTTGGCAAAATCCTTTGATGCAGAAAGTCATTTTGGCTTAAATTCAATCTTTTTCAAATGGTGAATATGGGATTTTACTTTAATATTTCTTACTGAGATTCCTACCATTTCTCAGAGTTGCACCTTTACCTAAACTGCCTCCTTTCCCAGGTATTGTGGACAATTGTTCCTTATCTTGTCACACAAGGTAATGTGTGAACAAGAACAGATTATGTAACACAAATCAGTACTTTGTCCATCTGGTGATTTGTGCTGACACCACTGTTCGTTTTGCAAGAAGAGAAGCTATGTATTTAATAGCTGCACTTTCAGCTGGTATCAACTGCTTAATTTAGTTTTTCTTGTTTGGTTGGTTCAAGCCTTCTGGGAGGCTTTCATTCACATTAAAGCAGATATAAATGCATCTTCACAGTCCTGTGTAAGAAATGCTAGGCATGAATGATCCACCTGTTTCTCATGCATATCAACTTTGAAATCAAAGGTTCCAGTTTTACTTACTTATATATTCAACTCTTTCTTGTCTGATCAATTATACTGCTCCTGCAAGGAAATCATCCATTCTAGAAGTTAAAAGAAAAGCTGCACTAATTTATACAATGAGAAAATTTGACTCTTTTTCTTATGTTTGTTTTTGTTTGATTGTTTTGAAGCATACTGGATGGTACGTCTGCTTTTAACTAACCTGATAATTCCAGAGGGTCTGTTGTTACACTTCTTTGGTTTGACATCCGTTGACGAATATCAGCATGCTGGTCAAGCAGAATCATGGTAACTTGCTGCCATGGACAGGGCCACTGCAGCTGATCATCGTTTGCTCCAGAAATCAAGTGCAAGTATATTGCTAAATTAAATGGGTTATCATTGGTACCATTTACATACAAGCCAACCTGAAAAGCATATCCTTTACTAGAGTAAAAGGGTGGACTGTATATTTTTCCTTCTGTCCCTGCAGGACTTGTGTTGAGGAGATCCGTGAAGTTTCTGATGTGCCAGACATGGTGAGGACATTGTGTTTCTGACAAGTTGATGTCGTCAATAGAGAGACCTCCATTTGACAAACCAGTTCCTCTCGCACCTTGAAACACAACCCGGAATTTACTCGTGACATTCAAGGAAACGTGGTGGAGCTGCCAGTAATTCACAGGTGAACCTGAAAAACATTGGTAGGGATTTCTAAGTAAGCAGTACAATCAAACACTGTACATATCCACAGAGTCTATTCCAATGCTATGAAAGAGTTTCTCAGCTCCACCAGCACTGAAATGATGGAACATTCCTCTTGTAGACACTACTTTTTCAGTGAGTGATCATATTTGTTCAGTTTAATTTTTCAACAGATTTAATACGCATAGAAGCTTTATTTCACTCTAATTAGAGTGAAAACTGCTAATGTTTCTAAGGCTGCTTTTGCTTTTATGTTTTAAAGAACACTGCATTAAAATAGTTGAAAGGTTGTGATAATTAAATGCGCAAAGGTGGCTGTCACCTGTGGCATTATTAAAAAAAAAATCATTGGCACCAAGTATCTATAACTGAATAACCACGTATCTCAAACAGAAGAGAAGAAGAACAAAAAAAGAAAAAAAAGAGATGCAGAGAATTCTGGGACCCTAGCACTGCAGGGTTTGTATGGCTTGCCGGAAGTTTGCCTCCACAGAAGCACTATTCACCCATCAAATGACTGCTGCTAAGTTAAAATTAAAGCCAGAGATTTGCAAGATCCACTTCATGTGACGAAATCCCAGTGCAAGTCTGATGCCGCCTCTAGACGTGCGTGACTAGTAAATCCCACTTGACTCCAAGAGCAGTTTGCAGAAAAACAAAGAATTCTGCACAAAGGCCTTTTAAGTCAAGTGAAAGTAGGACATTTTTTGTTAATAGTACATACAGCAAAACAACTCCTTTAGCTGTCTGGCTTATGTTCTCCTGAATGGAAGGCCAGACTTTCAGCTGTATTTCTGGACTAGGCAGTGCCAATCCCAAGCACAGAATTTACTTTCCTAACTGTTCTAAAAACAGCACAATGGATTTCAGATAAGGATCTTAATTTCTTGCTGTTTTTCATTATTGTTGTTATAACTGAGAGGAGAAAAATAAATTCAGAAACAAGAACACCCCACTATCTTCTATTAAACGGACTTCTGCATTAACAAATGTCTATTTGAACTGCAAACATAATACACAAGACTGGTATTTCTGACTCATGCTCAATGAGAGGATCAGTTACTGTGGTGTAAAATGTCCTGCTCCCTCTGCATCCCCTGTTCCAGACTGAAGGCAGCCATGGCTGCTACAGACCAGTAGCAATGGTCTGGGGTTTGTTCCTCCAGCTCTCCAGCATGGTAGTGCTCATGGTTTGAACCCACAAGCAATGCCAATCATGAATGGAAAGGGCTGTGGTGTCTGTGCTTCCTTCTCTCTGTTGACTCTGTGTTGGTGAGGACAGCTTCTCACAAGAGAGAAGTGAGGCAGTTCAGGAAAAAATTGTCTTTAACCATTCTTGAAAGTTTTATCAGATCCTGTTTGTCAGAGGAGTGTGCTCACTTGGACACATACAGCAGATCAGAGATTAAAAGGAAATTAGTAGATTTAAGAAAAAGGGAATGGGAGATGGGACCAAATATATATGAAAGAATATTTGAGAAGAAGGCCTGAGAAATGAATCTCTGACTAATCTGAAATCTACATCTTCCTCAGCATCCGACTTTTATACTGAGGATTCCTGACAGTACACAGGGATGATGAAAGTATCAAAGTGAAGAAATGATTGGAAAAAAGAAAAGGATAACAGGCATGGGTAGCAGTTGAGCCTTAAAGAGCAAAAAGAGGTAAAAGAAACAGACTTTATCGCGCAAAAGAGCTTTCTAAGACTAATTCATTCAATGGACTGAATTATTTGTAGCTGTAATGGAGATCAACTAATAGTTAAATATTTGAGAATATAGTTTAACCTTAAGTGACTTCAGCAATTCTAGTTTAAGTCCATCAGCAGACCTCTGTTGCTCATTTTGTGGGATCCCAAAGGCTCCACAGGCTCCCAAAGGCAGAAAAACTAATTTTTTTGCAAAGTACGATACAAATTCTGCTGCCCATATATTTCAGTTCAGCCACTCCAAACTTGACTTAAAAATTAAGTTGAATTTTGTTCATCTTCTTTTTTTTTTTTTTTTTTTTTTAATTGAAATTTTGGGTATTCCTGAGCGCTTATATTTTCCATTTCTTTATTACTTCATTCTTATTTATTGTAATTTATTCTAATGACCAACTTCATCTGTTGCTGTTGATACCAGCAATTCTACATCACTTAAAATGACTGTTCATGGAATTTTACCTGTTTTTGTAAGAGAACTATCTTGATGGTGCAAGAGTTTAATTTGTTGTAATTTAGTATATTATGGGAAAATGGCTGACTGAGGATTCATCAAGTATAGTATCACCAGCAGAAATTCAATTATTTAGTGAGAGAAGAAGATAAAGAATAAAACTAGGAGATGAGTCACTTTGCTACAGTATTTTCCCTCAGTACATTGAAAAGCATAATGAGTAGAGATTAAAACAAAATGCAGCTTTATTCCATACCTTTTATCTCTTCAATTAGTCTCAAAGTACCATTTGGATGGGCATCAGAATACTCCCTGACCCAGACATAGAGCTGGTCACTTTCACTTCCACTATTATAGAAATAGAATTGCAAGCATTGGAAGCCTCTTTTGGGATATAGAATTCTGCTCTCCAGAATAGCTGTGCTTCCTCCTGCTACAGCACTGGTGTTGAAATGCATGAAATAGCCAGAATCTGTCAAAAGTAAATGAGAAGCAAGTGGTAAAACATGTATTCTTAACACCATGTTGTAACAGTGCTAGAAGATACAGGCAAGTTAAGGGTCACAGTAAACTGGATCCTGTACAAATCTTCAGACTGAGGGCTGTTACCTGTCTGCATTCTTCAGAGGAAGAACTGCTGTTCTCCTTTGACATTTTTTTCCTCCTTTGCTTGTCTCTAGCAATTTACACACAATGGGTGCTCTCTTGAAACTGTTCATGCAGTGCTGGTAATTCACGGTTGACATTCTCTTCAGAGGACTGGTGTAAGCTCCTGAACTCACAAGTTTCTTTGACAGCTTCATAAATAATTAGCTACATTCTCTTCAGCCCAGAGCAGAGGAGCTGAGGGGAGGCCTCATGGTGGCCTACAGTTCCTCACAAGGGGACTGAAGAGGCAGCAGTGATTTGTGCTCTCTAATAACAGCGACAGGGCCCGAGGGAATGGCATGGAGCTGTGTCAGGGGAGGGTCAGCTGGGGGTTAGGGAAAGGGTCTGAACCAGAGAGCAGTGGACATGGAACAGGCTGCCCAGGGCAGTGGGCATGGCCCTGAGCTGCCACAGTTCAGGGAGCATTTGAACAATGCTCTCAGACACAGTGTTTGAATTTGGGTGGTCCTGTGTAGAGCCAGAAGTTAGACTCGGTGATCCTTGTGGGTCCCTTCCAACTCAGGATACCTTATGGTTCTATGATTCTCAACAAATTGTTCAGCTGAGCTCTGGTAATATGTGAAATTTCTAAATGCCAGTCTTTTCTAAAGCATTACTGTGCAATTATTCAGAAAATCAGCACTATCTCTGATGTACCTGATATTTCTGAAGCGTAGTTTAGAACATTTTGCATAATTCTCTTGTGAGGATGTGACATTAAGACTAGAGAAGATCAAAAGAGATAAGAACATTCAATCTTCTCAAATAAACAGAAAACAGAATGTGTCACTTGGTTTTCCCAAGCATGCAGTTTTATATTGCTTAGTTCAAAAGTTAACTGTGGTTCTTCAACAAATAAACATAGAACAAGGCCAAGAGCAAAGTCAAGTGACTTGCCTTTGCAGAAAATACTTCCCAAAGAGATAAGGAGAATGTTTTCCCATACCTTCGCATTCTCCCATGTTAGTGTGATCAGTATTTGGCCCAGCAGGAACGTGAGACAAATGTTGCCAATCACTGTTATCATCTGGACTTTGAATCATGCCACAAATATTTTCAAGTTCAAAACTGCATGTGTCCATGAAGCTTAGGGAGGAGGCTACAATATTAAAAAAAATAAATAAATCAATCTGAATCTCTGTTACAAAGCACATGTTCAATACAAAATATTCAGAGTCAAGAGCAGAGACACTAAGAAATGCAAACACAGAACAATCAGTGACATCAAACGCCATCAACTTTTATATCTATAACATTCAGGAACTCAAAGCATTTGGCAATTAACACTGACTAGTAAGACATCATCAGGGCAGCTCTGTGCACTTAACAAGCATGAGGAGGGAGGCCTCTAGCACAAGAAAAATGCAAAATGGCTGGAGAGGGTCCAGAGGAGGCTACAAAGATGACCAGAGGGCTGGAATACCTCTCCTATGAAGATAGTTAGGGGAAGTTGGGCTTGCTTAGTCTGGAGAAAAAAGGCTCTGGGAAAACATCATTGCAGACATCTGGTACTTGAACAGAGTTTACAAGCAGGAGGAAGACCAAATTTTTACATGATCTGATAGTGACAGGACAGGGCAAATGGCTTTTAACTAAAAGATGGGAGATCTAGGTTAGATGTTGAAAAGAAATTCTACACTCAGAGGGCGGTGAGGCGCTGTCACAGGTGCCCAGAGAAGATGTTGTGCCCTACCCTGGAGGTGCTCAAGGGCAGGTTGGGACTCTGGGCAGCTGAGCTGGTGGGGAACAGCCCTGCCCATGGCAAGGGTGAATTAGAACCAAATGATCTTTATGGTCCCTTCCAACACAAACCATTCTATAGTTCTATTATATTTTGTTTATAAAAGGAACTGACACCAGCCCTGACCTACCAAACTTCACACAGCCAAAAGGTCTGAGGATTTCCCATTCATTCCTCTGCTTTCTTTAGGCTTAGTTCACATATAGTTCACACATAGTCAAAGCTTTTTCAAAGTTTCACCAGACCATCTACTGGAGAACCAGCTTTGAAATACAGCACAGCAGCAGCTATTTGACTGCAGTATTTGCTCATTCTACTTGATTTTCAAAATGCTGAATTGAAAACACATTTGGCAAAGATACGTTTGAAACCAGTGGGTATCTCACCTCCTACAAACTCTGAAGATCTGGTTTTCATATTAACAAGTCAGTAGTTAACAAAAGAAGTAATAAATCCAGGTTTATGCCTATTCTTAGATTTGCTTCCTGTTGTACTAGATCTGAGCTCTCTGCAACACCAGCCATGATTTGAAAACAACTGTTAATAAAATGCTTTGTGATTATTGCTTCTCAACCTATGTATAAAATATTGTGACAGTTTTAAAGGTTTCATTGCACCGATAAAAAGAACTTTGAGTATCACAAAAATCAACCTCAGTAGCATGCTAAATGCTTCAGTGAGCTTAGCTCAGGGAAGTGTTGTATAATTGATACCTTTTAAGAGAAGGTATTTGTATGATGTTGTTAAAAAAACAAGAAAAGATTTTTACAGTAGCTGTTCTATTGACAGTTAGAGAAATTTTTTTTTTAAAAAAAAAGGAGGTTAGCAAAAAAATGTAAGGAAAAAAAGGGGATGATGAAAGAACTCTTTGAAATCAAAGCATAAAGCAAGATATGAAATCAGTTTGTCCAAACAGGAAAGCTGTTAAACAGTGCTGGAATATAAAACTGAAGGACAAGAAGAGAGAACAGCAAAACCCAATAGCATACAATCTATGTCTTAGATTAAATTCTGAGACAGGAGTAGGGGGTTTTGAACTCCATCTGCACCAAATGCCAGTTAGTTTCTCACTGCTTAGTGAAAAGCTAGTGGATGGCAGTATGAGGGGCATGACTGCTGAATCCTAACTTTCAGTGAATGAGGAAACTCATGGCCAGCTATAATAGGAAATATGCTAGAAAGGGAAAATATACTGCAATCTACATTTATTATATGGCCTGGAAAATAGTGCTGAAGAAGAAACCAGGGCAGAACTAAAGTAGCAGTCAGAAATTCTTATGCTGTTAGTTGCTTCTTTTGGTTTGGGATTTTTTTTTTTTTTTTTAAGTTTCCAATTTTAATCAATTCCTAACCCCACAGATTTTCAGCAGGAATTCAGGTTAAAGCCTTTCTTAAGTTCTGCTCAGCAATAAAAACGCTTTTTTGATACATCTGTGAGGACATCTGCAACCCAAGGCATGTTTGTCATTCTTGGTCCTTCCTCTAACCTGAAAGGTCATTCAGCAGCTGAGAGCTGGGACCTGTGAAGCAACTCTTCTCCCTGCACAGGAGCCTCTTGGGCAAACAGTGAACCATCTGAAGACCACTTGTGGCTCTGCAAATATCACACACCCCCTGCTATGCCAAGAGACAGAGCAGGGACTAGGGGAAATTCTGATTGCCCTGAACACGGTGGAAGTTTTGTCACTTATTTTTCAGCATAAATGGGGCTTATTTTGCTGAGCAAATGTGACTGTTGGATAAGAATAAAGTAATAAAGTCAAGAAGTATTTATATACTGCATGAGAATGATGGAAAGTATATAAGATAATGGAGATTAAGAAGAACCCTGTCTGCTGTTAAAGACATCCTTAGCTTTAAGCACTTACATAAGAGCTAATTGACTGTGTGTCAAATGCTGGAAGCTAAGGCTGCATGTGTGTTCATTTTAGACCCACGTGAAGATAAGCACCTTTATCAGAATCATATACTCATTAAAAGACACTGTTTCAATAAACGGGTTTGATTACTATTTAAAGTATACTTTGAGTGAGGTTTAAAATGTAATGTAAGATCTTACACTCTACTTGGTATAGTGAGGCAGTGAAATAAAAGTATCACCTGAGTGCCAGGACACATTTGATAGTCACAATTACATAATTATGTTCTCCAGCCCCCTATTTTCACTCAACTTTCTAGAATGAATTCCATATGAGGAAAGCAACCATTTCAAGCACTTTGCTAATAGGCTGGGTTTGAAATGGAAACCAAAAATTTTAAAGGCTTGCATTTTCTTGTTTGCATGAACAGGCTCTGTCTGACAGACTGTGTAAGTGTAGAGCAGGTATGAGAGCCACAGCAAAGACACTCAGTTCTGTAGAGCAGCAGCTGTGGAATAATGCGGGGGGAGAAACAAAAAGCTTGGTGTAGAAGTACACATTTTAAACAGCCACCCAAGGGATGAACAAAAATCATCTACTGAGCAAAGCTGATTTTTAACTAAAGGTCAAATAAAATTGCACAGAAAGCTCTACTACACAGCAGTGTTTCTGCAGGAGGGCTGTATTATTTCTAGCTGTACCATTATTTCTGGTGTTTTTAACACAATTCATTTCTCCAAATATATTCACGTATATATTTTTTACTTGAGGCTGGATGATAAGAAGCAAAGAATGTAAAATAAATGGAGGAACTTACAGCAATTGTACAGCCGATTCAGTTTCTGGAGATCATAATCACTGAAATCCATCCGCTGTCCTATTACATCCATGAAGTACGGTATGTTTGTTACGATGGTTGGTTCAGTTCCATTCCTGAAAGCAGTTTTGCTATAGTGCATCACAGATGTATAGTCATAGGGAACATTCAGAGAGTCTGATGTTTTATCATCGTATTTATTGAAATTATGCTCTCTACCTGAGAAGGAAAAGTAAAAGATTGTTTATTTCCAAAAAGACGACCAATCTTCGAGATACAGGCTTAAAGTAAAAGAAAATCTTTTAGAACCTTAAGTACTTTTTGGTAATCATTTTTGTGTAATTGTTCTATAAAGGTATTTTATTCCTAGCCTAAATTTATTTAGCTTCCTCTTTCAGCCACCTGAATGTAACATGATGACTTCTGCTGCACAAAGTCCTTTTTCCTTTCTCCTATCAGAAATCTTTTCACCATGAATCTACTCATAAACTGTGATGGGCTTGTGATACCCCAAAGTGGACATACCATTTCAGTACTCAAGTTATGCACCTGCAGGAATGCCTCTTTATTTCTAATCCATATTTTCCAAATTTTAATTGCTGCTCATTTCTAAGAAGTTTAAATTGGAGTTAGGTAAACATTCAAAATTTAATTGTATAGATATTTTCTGAAGAATCAGTAAAAGGCAGTGTTAACTCTAAAGAAAAGCAAAGTTATAAATGTTTTAAATGACGATTAGCCAAAATACAGGAACTATACTCCGGTCAGCATAAAAAAGCTGCAGCAGTTTCAAGTGGCTAACAATAGCATAACTTGTTATTAAGAAGTCAGCAAAGTATAGCGGAAATCAAATAACAGACTCTAAGTCATTTTCTGCAATATATCCTTGTGTGTGCACCTGGCTATTGATCAGAACTAAATACGAATGCATAAGATTTAATTACTGTCTGGTGCTCAGTGTGTACCTGCACCAGGTCAGTACCATGTCTGGGCACACATCCTTGTTTTCAAACTGCGTAGGGACTATGGAGGATTATGGTATGCTGAAGAAGCTGACATTGATCCCAACTCTGAGGAACCCTCTGCCACAGTCAGGCTTGTGACAAATATGCCAGTGCTTGCACTTGGAAGCCATGTTGCCACAGAAATGGCTTATGTGATGGGGACACCAAAAGAAGTCTCTCTGGCCTGTGAGCTCTCTCTCAGGAGAAAGATCGATTCCTTCCCTTCAGATTTTCTGCTGGCTTTGGTTGTACTGGGTTTTGTAGGGTGGGATTATTTTTAATTACTTTTACAGGCTCCCATAGTAATTAGTGAGTTCAGTGTATTCATTAAAACAAACCAAGTTACTCTTTTCTGTTGCTGGGCTGTACGGTACTTAGCACGACAGGAGTCAGATCTCCAGGTAAGCCTCTGGGAACTGCTGTGACATGAGTAACAATGACAACGACAACAAATAATGGCATCCCAAACAGATGCCACTTGATGTTCTGTTTATTGATATGGTGAACTTGAATTTAATTCAAGGTGAGGGAATCTATGAGCGATGGGAGGATGTCTGAAAGAGATGTTCTCTACCCAAAACACGTCATACCAGAGCCTGAGAGAGAAATCAGGAGAGTGACTGACCGGTCTGAATCCTGTCCCAGATGATGGACACATAGTCATCTCGATCAGACCGTGACTGCTCATGCCAGAAGCCCAGTGCATGAAGGAATTCGTGCTCAACTGTTGCAATCCTGTCACAGTTGGTTCCAATTGAGAGCTGCTGCAAGCCCTGCTTCCGGTTTCCCACTGAGGACCAGCAACTAATATGGAAATAAGATTGGAAGACAAATCTCTGAAGTACATGCCACCGCCATGCCATGATAAATCCAGAATGAGCCTGTTCAACAGGCCTTTCTTTGAGTGCTAGAGATACATTTTGCTATGAGTGTTTTTTCATTGATCTGTTCATTATTGGATCCTTTCCTCCCATATGAAACTCTGCTTCAATGAGTAAGCAGTTCTCCCACTCCAGATGGATTTTTTTTAATGGGTTTTCTTTAGCAGAAAAAAAAAGTTGACTATTTATGACTAAAAAAAATGAAAAGATTAGGGGTACATGATTTAAGACCTAAGATTTATTGCAAACTAACAAGCTGGTGCTCCTTGGCTAGATCACCATAACTATCTGTGGGCATACTTTGGACACGTCTTAGTGCCAGACAAACCATTGCCCTGCCACTTCTCACCTCAACCATCACAACCACCTCCCCATACTATTTTGGTCATTTGCTTTGGTGACAGCTTGTGACTGCTAGGTCAGGTCCACCCCTGGGGACCGTACTCTGAAAGTCTAGTACATCTGAGAGGGCTTTTGTTTGTCTCTTTTCTTTCCAGCTATTTGTGAGAGGTAGTTCTAGGGCAGTTGCTGCCTGCATGCACTCACAAGGCAGTGCCAAACTGCAGCTATGCTGGAAGATTTTATTAAAGAATAAAAAAATTCTGTGATCTATCACACAAACCAATAAAATGGCACCCCATGTCCACAAACTAGCAAGCACATTTAAATTGATGTTTTACACAGCAAATAAATCAACACTTACCCAATGAAGTCCATAAAATTAATCAGGCACAAAATACTCCATAGGATTTGCAGTTCTATCACCCCAGAAATGTAAAAAGCAAGCATACCAGGCACGGTAGGACCCTGAAACTTATTAGTGAAGCATATTCTACAGGATTTCTCTTTCTAAAAAGCAGTACAAGCCTTAGCTATTGATTACTCATTAAAATTACAGCATGGGGCCTGGGAGGGAGCCATACAGCTTCCATAATTTCACTGGCTTCCCTTGAGCAAGGCCTCATATTGATTACGCTGCTTTTTCTGGTTGTACAAAAGTCTAAGAAGTCCATTATAGTCCTGGATATACTTCATATCACAGCAGATGCCTCTGGCTTCATGGCTGCTGTGTAGAGCACAGCAGGCGACAAGAACACCCTGGACACTTGGTAAAATCAATATTCAAACACCAGTGGATGTGACTTCCCCTTGCCTTCATTCTGCAATTGCAGAGGGAGTAAATACACTCTGTGTCACTCAGTGCTGAGAATAAAGACATGTGAGGGGGACAAGGACAACTGGAGCCCTTACATGCTAATGATGTCTTTCTTTAGGGAGGGAGGAAAATGGAAAAATATTCCAGCTTCTTCACATGTGTTAGAGTCTGTCTCTGTTGATTCAGTGCTTTCTGCTCTGTTTGTTGCTCCATCAGAGGTTAGAGTTGTGGAGAAGTATTTGTTCTCACTAATTTCACCAGTCTGCTTTTCAGAAGGCAGACCATCAGGAGACACACGCCATCAGTAGCAATGCTGTTCTCAAAGAGTCAGCAGTTTTTCCAGGCTTGTTTTTATACTCACATCCTGCTAGCAAATTACTGTTTATAGTATCACAGATCACCCTTTGCCTTATGCCACAGTGCCAAAGTGACCTCCTAGGAATGCTCCATGAAAACTTGGTTTCCCATCTGGAAATACATGATACAGGGTTGGTCCTCTCTGGTCTGCTAACTATTTGACTCTACCATGCCCTACTAGTTTTCCTGGTGAATGAGCCCTGTCCTTCACGAGAATGGTAGCAATGGCACTTTCCAGACTGCTAGATGAACTCTGCAGGTATGTGCCACTTCTGATGCTCTTGTACTTCTGTCATTCACAAACGTTTCTCAGATATTTTGCTTACTGTAGGAACTGGAGGAAAGAAAAGGTCTTTAAACAGATTTTCAGTCTAACCTCTGCTGCAAATGTGTAGACTTGAATTAGTTGCTACATGCTTAGTGATATATGTATTTGTGAATATAGTGGAGTGGTAGCCAAGACCTGGCATGTGTTAAATAAACTATAGGGATAGGGAGAGGGCTCTTTCTTTGGGGTTTGATGGCAGTGTGTCTCATCGAGACTACAAGCTTGTTTTTATACAAACTGACAGCTGATTTCCTTTGTGACTAACTTTGAGTTCAAAAAGATAATTCTGACAATTCTGGCCTACTAGTCAGAAAGTTTTTTCATTTTTTGAAATAAAGTTCCCTCATCTTCTTCTGTATGTTTCACAGATGCAAACCAGATCAGAAAGGCAAAGATGATTTGACTTTTTGTTGGTGCCATAAAATGTTATGAATACAGTTGGGACTGCCAGGAACTTTGCACTTCTGTGTGCACTGTGTCCTCTGGACTGAGTTCTCCTGCAGCTACAGGAGTTCTAGCTAATAAGGAGAAATCTAGAAATGGAAGAATGGGAATGGGCTGCTTCATGCATTTTTCACCTTGAGTTTTCCATTTGGTTCACAGACACTAAGAAAATGCATTACTTTCTGTGTCTCCACTTACAAATCTTTTAGGGTTGAGTTTCAATGTCAGGTGCACAGCACAAAGAGTAGAAAATACAGAGTCAGAGAATGAAGAACTTTTGAAACAATTATCTGATATAAATATCTCAGAGCAAGCTAACGGGAATAGGAAGCATTTCTACTAGCAGAAAATCTTTTCCCATTTATGAATGCATTTTCTCATATCAGGAAATAATTTTCTGAAAGTAAATTTCCTCACCATGCTTTCAAGGTTTCCCTGGTCTCCTTTTCTAACAAGAGAGAAATGGGCCAGCGTGGTGTGCAGAACATATTTGTCCTGTTACACTGTTTTGATAAAGACTGTCTTAGAAAGGGAAGCAGCTGGTGCAATTTTGATTTTTTTTTTTTTTTTTAGAACATTATTTTGTGAAAACTCAGGTGAAATAGCAGCATAACTACTGATAGAAATAGATAAACTGAAATCTCAGTGTAATGTCTCAGTGCTAGGCAGCATTCAAAAGTAATCTAGATGCTTGTGTGACATTGTTCAAATGCAGTTCAATTTGTTACACTGAAGCAAATGCACTGTCCCACAGTTAAACCTATCACATTTCCAATGGGATTTTTTTTTTTTTTTTTTTTTTTTTTCTAAAACCTAAGGTATGCTTACTAAGATTACATGAAAGTGACATTCCATATAGCCAAAGATCAGTCAAGAAATTAAAGTGCTTGTTTCAGATTTTCTCCTCTTCAGGGATCTGATTACTTACTATATTTAGAAACAAGTATCAGTGATAATTTGTTGATTGCTACTATCCAGTATTTGCTTTGGAAGATACTACATTTGCTAGTTAACAACAGACAGAAAATGGACACAAAGAAAACCAGAGAATTACAGTCAGATAGATGAGTTTTAGAGAGAATGCTGGACATGAATACAGTCTGTAGCCAAAAAAAGATGAGAATTATTTTATACTTCTCCTCTTACCCACTTCCTTTGAACACAGATATGTAATTCTCCTCTCCTTCCCAAGGTTTGAAGTCAATACAGGTTTTGAGTCGATACTGTTCGAAAGCCTTGAGGATGACTCCCTTCGCATTAACTTCTGCAATGTAAACAGTGTTTTTGTCAGTGTTGAGCCACTAGGTTTGTACTGTTACCTGTACAGAGCAAGTCCAAAGGGTCCATACTTTAAGGGTGGGTCTTGATCCAGCAATCTTTAATCAAAATAAACAAACCTTTTGCTGGATTAACACCTATGTAGGGGCATAGAAACCATCAAATTATGCTCTTGTGACATTTTATCTTCCCCTGGTTCTGTTTCTGTGTAATTTTTCTGTAGTATATGTGTATAAAATACAACATGATGAATATATAATACACAATATACACAGTTCTTCATTTTGTAATTTTTTTTCACTTACTTCACTGAGATTTTCCTGAACATGAATTAAGTAAACAGTGAATGACGACATCAGATTTCACCTGGGGCTAACTGTAGGCTACACATCTCTCACAGAAACTCTCTGGGACTTACAATAGTTACTTTATGTCTGGCTTATCTACTCTGAGCAATTTACATGGTTTCAATTCTTTACTATGTTAGATCCTAGCCTAAACTGGGGATGAGTAATTATTTTTTCATGTCATAGACCAGAAAAATGACCTCACACTGTGTGTTGAGGGCACAGTCACAGAACCACAGAATCACAGAATGGCCAGGGTTGGAAGGGACCTCAAGGATCATGAATCTCCAACCCCTCTGCCCCAGGCAAGGCCACCACGCTTCCCATTTAATGCTAGACCAGGCTGCCCAGGGCCCCATCCAATCTGGCCTTGAACACCTCCAGGGACGGGGCATCCACAACCTCTCTGGGCAGCCTGTTCCAGCACCTCACCACTCTCTCTGTAAAGAACTTCCCCCTGACATCCACCCTAAATCTTCCCTCCCTGCCACAGACTCCTCATATGCAGTGAGAACCATAACTGTGAGAAAGAAGCTCTGTACTATGAGGGTGACAGAACAGTAGAACAGGGTGCCCAGAGAGGTTGTGATGTCTCCTTCTCTGGAGATATTCACGGCCTGCGTGGGCACACTCCTGTGCAATGTACTGTAAAGAACCTGCTTTACTAGAGGGTTGGACTAGATGATTTCCAGAGCTCCCTTCCAACTCTACAATTTTGTAATTCTGAGAACTTGAATTTCCTCTTTTACCACTTCCCTCTGCCATGCAAAGCCACATCTGGTTGTACCTGAAGGGATGGAGAGCAGCCTGACCCCACCACAGGGCACTCAGCAGTGTGCCACTGCAAACTGCATTACAACCCAGAATGTCAGTTTGCCCCCAGTGCTGTAGGTGGTATAAACAGCCAAGTAAGCTGCCTGGCTTTAATAACATCATCAGTGCCATTTTATTTCTTCATCTTACTATGGCTTCATGTCTTGAACATGCTTTTCAAAGGAAACCAATCTGGTGGGTCATTACGATGTCAGGTTAGGAGCATCCAGAGAGGAGGTGGGACCCCAATACCAAGACCAAGATGAGATATCCTGCTAGTGCATATCCAGGCCAAATCCTGTTGGGGGAAATGGTCTGCTCTAGACTAACAGCATGGCAGTAGGAAGAGGAAAGGATGACATGGATCTTTACTGATCTGTAATCAACATTTCAATTAAAGTGACATACAGACATTGTCAAGGACAAATACTGTACCCAGGCTATCATCAAGGACATAGGGGACGACGTGGGGCCAGCGATATTCGTCACCAATGATGGAGTTTCGTTCTTTTATCTGAGAAAGAAATTATGCAGTTTTCTGTAAAAACTGATCTGGTGTCATAGACTGAGATACTTCTAACATTACGTTTCTTATGAGTTCATATAAGAAAGATAAGAAATCAAAGAAAGATAAGATCACTGAAAGGCCTATGGCTTGGGTTTGAAGTGAAACACATTTCTAACCATCTCTCCCATTTCTGCACCATTTTCTCCATACAGATTTTGATGCATATTTGAGGAGAGTTTCAGCTACTGTGGAAAGCATTAAGTTCCAGAGTCCTGAGATGTGCACAAACATCAATAATTCTGCATTTTTCATAATGCAAAGACTTGCTCCTATGCCATTAACAAGTGCTTTCCTTGCTTCCATTGACATGCCCAGGCATAAGCAGTTCTCAAAAAGGAAAAGAAAAACACTACTGACTTTTAGGGTCACAAGATAATTTCTTGGGCTTCTACTACATATCTTTAAGATGTAACTGGCTAAGCAAATATTTTTTATTCTTATTGATTGAACAGGCATAGGGGACAGATGTTTTTAAATGTGGTATTACTCACAGGTCTAATTTTCCATTGGTTTTGGTTTATGTATTTACACAATGAAAGTTTTGCAGCACTGGTCCATAAAGTTAATTGGCTCATAATTTACATGCATATTCTGCAGATAAATTAAGAATGTTTTATATAACCCTGTCTGGATGTGATTTGTGCTGCTGGATATCCTAAAAGTACAAATAGAAAACCCACTGCAAAGAAAACAAGATGCTAATGATATTGATCTACTGGCTAAACTGACCTTATTCTGGATAATGTTTCTGTAAATGCACCCGAGTCCTTCATTGCTTATGATATTTTGTAGAAATGTATCTCCAAACATTTTCAGTTTATCGTAACATAAACAGCATTTATTGTTAGTATGAGCAGGATGCATCAGTCATATTTCACGCCACTAATACTTTACATTGCATGAGTCAATGACACAGTTCTGGTTTTATATTTTATATTCAAACTCACCCCATCAAGTTTGATGTCTCCCTCAAAAAGGTCCAGTCCTAGAGCTAAAGAGAAGAGGAGATTAACATGCAGTTAGTATGTTGATCTACAGCTACCAACAGGAAAAAGAAAAGAGAAACAGATTTTTTTTTAAAAAAACCTTCATTGATGTCAAAGATGTCTTGATCAATTCCTCCATCTATGTCTACTTCTGAAAAATAAAAAGACAAGTGAGATAGGACATGAGCCCTTGCTGTTATCTTTATGATGTGTGAAAATTAATGCAATAACAATAACAGTAATTATAAATCTGTGTCTGTCCTAGCAATGTTTATGAGCAGCTGTTTTTGTTGACTGCCTCCCATGCATACAAATTGATCTCTAAACAGAACTCACCAGTAGTTTCCAGAGCAGGCTGGGGAGAAGAAAGGAAAAGATATATTATTAGAAAGGCACACAATGAATTGCAGCTAGCATTATTCTCTCTACAGTACTAGAGATGCATTTATGCTCAAATAACAGTATTTATCACATTGCTTGTATTGGACTGATTGGACCCACTGTCTTCTCATTTGACTGCAAATGCTCATTTGCTTGTTTCAGCTTTTTGCCTGCTCCACTCCACAGTGCCCAATATGCAAGTCAACCAGTACAGCTCCTGTAAAGTTTTCACAACCTGGTACTTCTATGAAGACAGATATTGCTACTAGTAAAATACTGTACAGAACCTATGGAAGGCATGCCTAACTTTCAATTGTAAAGCAGTACTTGGGGAACAAATCCCCTGTAAATCCATAGTGTCAATAGTCTTGTCTTACATTCTGGAGTTTTATTGCCTTTATGTCCTAGCTTTACTTTCCTTTATGACAAGATATCCACAAAACAGTCTCCAGTCCACGTATTTAAAATTTGAAATGAAAATGGAGCTTGTAAAATAAGCTGAAATTACTCAACCTGTAATACATGTTTTGAAGAATTATTTACTTTTAAACTTCTACTCTTCCACCAGTATTTTATTAATGTGAAAGAAAAAAAAAAAAAAAAGTCAGAGAATTAAAGCTTGCAATATTAAAAAGTTAAAATCGTATTTTCTCTTCTATTAAAGAATGCTAATGGAGCAGTGAGGAACTGGCACAGCTGCCCAGAGAAGCTATGCATGCCCCATCCCTGGAGATGCTCAAGGCCAGGTTGGATGGAGACCTGGGCAGCTGAGCTGGTGGGGGGCAGCCCTGCACATGGCAGGGGGGTTGGAGCTAGATGAGTCTTAAGGTCCCTTTCAACAAAATACATTCTATGTATGTATCTATCTATGTATGTACATATCTAATACACTATGACTCTATGCTGAACAGCCTTTGAGCCATTAATGGAGGGCAAACATTTTTATAGTTTCAGTAATTATGAACTTCTATGTTCTCATATCTACTAATCTGAAAACATAACTATGCTAAAGGTAAAAATTGGCTAGCTCATGAAAAATGCTCCTTTATCTGCAGTCAGAGCTCATAAACAGAAATCAGTGTAGCTAAGTCCAGTGGTATCTAATGTGTATAAAACAAAGTATGAATCCATTACTGAAGAAAAACAATCAATTGAAATCCAGGCTGGTCCTGGATCTGAAAATTGTCACTGAATGTTTTACACGAAAGAAATTCTTTTCATCATTCCTTCTTACTTATGTTGGAACAAAAGTAGGCCTTTAGTCATGTGAATCTCAGCAGTAAATTACTCAATTTCCAAAGAAGTATCTGTGTATTACTTGTTCAAGTAGCAACAGCTTCAGTCTTAGCACCAGCCTGACAGCTGAGACCCATTTGTTGAATTTCTAGCCTCTGAAAATTTTGCAAACAAATAAGAGATTCACATTTCACAGGCACATACAGGGGAAGTACAACTGTGAGGTGTTCCAATGAGGAAACTGATTTAATCTAACCAAAACTACTTATAAATCTACACCAAATGGCTTATAATTCATGTACGTCTCAAATAGACAGTAAAAGCATCTCACGTATTCTAGTTGTAAAAATTAGGTATTGGTGGTAATCGGTGGGGAAATAAATGAGTTATTGCATACAAAATTCATCTGTCTCTAAGATAGACATGGAACAATCACGATGTCCTGGCATCTCTAAAAGATGACAGACCTGACTGAGCTTCTATTCAAAGATGTGATGAATCACCCAGTGAAAACTTTCTGGTCTCACCGCAGACATAGGCTGGAATATGGTCAACCAGTTTTGGATGAGAACCCCTAACTTACTGGTGTTTCCTTCAGACTACGTAACTCTTGGTAGTAGCATCCAGAAATATGAAAGAAGATCTTCCTGGCCACAGTGAACATGAAAATCAAGTAAGTAACCCTGATGTTCTGAAGACACCCCTCTCACACAGGAGCTAGTTACTGGGAGTCAGCTTGAGGTGAGATAACTAGTAGATGCTGGTAGCCATCTGCACCACCTGTTACATACTTTAAAAAAGCCTGTAGAGGAATCTAAACAAAGTTGAGAGGTGAGTCTCCAAAACTTTCAGAACGGGGGAAGAGGGAGTTGTAATGGACAGAGGAAATAGCAGTGGAGTGCAGGACTTGTGGGATACAGGAGAGCTATAGGAAAGTTGGGGGCTTGGTTCTGAGCTCTTAGAGAGGTGTATGAGAGGTTAGAGAGGTGTATGAGCTGTGTATGAATGTAGGAGAGGGACAGACAATGACTGCCACAGTAAGATTTTGCACCTGGATTCACAGAATCAGACGGCTAAGTTGCATTAATTAAAATAGGTAAGATTGTTTCACTTGAAGTACCTTACTCTGTAAATTACCCCAAAGCCATAATGAACTTTCAACAGAAGTGAGCATAAACAACTCACTGGTTTTTGTTCTCCAAATTAATTATACTGTATATCACCCAAACGTCTGGCCTCAACAATGAATTATCATAAGAGCAGCAAAATAGTACATCTCTGTAGAAAAGACACGAAGTACAAAATCTCAAAGCTGTTGTTATTTTTTGGTAATAAATAGTTTAGCTGGACTGGATGAACAGAAAACAACCATTAAAAAGTATGTCCAGCGGCTAAAAATATATCACTTTCAATGTAAAATACATCAAGTTATAGCAAATAAATAAATTCCATGCAGATATGGAATAGCAAAATACTTTTTAATATTTATCTTGGTTCTAACTCTGCATTTACAACTCTGGTAATATTACTTTGAATACTAGTGGAAATTCTGCTTAGACAGGGAACATAAAGTATGCTCTTTTTCAATGCATAGCCAAGCCTATTAAGAACAACAGCTCAATGGAAACAGAAATCTTTGTTTTTTCTCCACACAGAAGAAACAGAATTCTAATTTTGGAACAATCACATACTTAAGTCTTTTCCTCCCAAACTCATATCAAGCTTATTTGAGCAAATGAAGAAAATGCACTATTTGCTTACTTACCTGATTCCAGACCACCTGAAGAAGAGAACTTAGGAGCACAAGCAAAAGCCAGTCCATGTTGTTATCCAGTCAGCAAACAGCTGAACTGATAGAATTCAGACCAAGTTGGTATTTAAGACAGTAAATATCATAAACCAAAACCTTTGTCCTTTCATCAACGATTAACTTCCCTACCTCTACCTTGTCTTAAAAGTGAAGTCCATCATAACTGCTCTAAGGCAACTAACATATAGTTCAATCAGTTGTAAACACTATTGTGAGAAAATGCATTGAACACAGGCTGAAATACAGGAAGAAATGAACCGAGGAAAATATAAATTCAAAAGAAATTGAATACATATAAAAATATACAAAATTCCAAATAAACTAAGAAAACCTTTTTTTTTTTTTTTTTTTTTTTTTTACAGTGAGGGTGATTAAACATCAGAATAAGTTGCCCAGATAGGTTGTAGAGTCTCCATTCTTGAAGATATTCAAGACCCAGCTGGCCACAGCTGTGAGGACCCTTCTTTGAGCACAGGAGTCACACCAGGGGGTCCCAAAGCCACCTTCCCACCTCAGCCAATGTGTACATCTGTGAATAAAGCTGGCACTAAATCTCTTTGAAAAACTGAAAGCTGGTAATGCACCTGGCAGGTAAAACCTTAATATATTTATATGTATTTTTTGGCAGAAAGGGAAGGCGATAAACACGTGCACAGATCTACCCCCAACATAATTTCAGAATCTTGCTTTGGGAAAAGGCAATGTCATTTTATACTGTTGATAAAAGTGAAGCGCTGTACTCGTCAGTAAAGTAAAGCAGGTGGTGGTATTCTTCTGGATTATTTTAAAAATCCATATAAATTAATTTTTAAAACATCTCTTTTGCCCTTGTATTATTGCTGTTGTTACTGTTTGGAGTTTGAGTTTCTTCTGGCTTCAGTCACCTATTTACTAACTGCCAGTGAGCACTGAAATGGCTGGCTTCTTCTTACACTTAAATTCAAGGTACTTGCAGATATTCTATGATCAGACTTGGCTAGCTGTTTATTTCCCCAGATCCACTACCTGATTAGAATTTCAGAAAAACTAAAAGTGGCATTTGGATTTTGTATGGTGATTGCAAAGAACAGATTTCCACATGATCATGTCAAAATTAATATCATTTTTCATAAAATTTCAAGTATTGGAGCTGGTAAGAAACAACTAATTGTTTTCAGGCAATTGTCAAACTAATTTCTAGCTGCCTAATTCCAAGCTTATTTTACAGCTTAACTACTGAGAAGCAGTAATTGTGGATATCACTGCTCCTACATCACTATACTTTCTACAAAAATTAATAGCAAATAATGTAGTCCTCTATCCAGCAATCACAGTTTAACAGTTGTTACCAAATCAGTGATATTTGGAAGGCTGAAAAGACTTTTTATCAAAGCTTCTTCAAGTTCACCAGTTCTTGAATTCTTCCTAATGCCTTCTGCAGTTGCTCCTTTCAGAGATTCTCTAGGTTAGGCTGGCTACGCCTATAGTAACAGTTACCAACTGGGACAGATTTGTAAATCAAAGTATTTGGTGCTAAGAACCTGGCTTCTATGTTGTACACATTTCAAAGAGTTTTACTTCAGCCAAGCTGTGATCTGATCCCAAGGATTGCAAGTCAGTGGTGGCAACTGGACTGCACTAAGCAGGCTCTGAAGCACACTTTCTGTTTTAGCTGCATACCACAGGAATTCAGTTCATAAGCACCACTACTCCTTTGTGATGTGAACTAAAACATGTTCAGTGAAGATGATGATAATACTTGTTTAAAAAACGCACTGTTGATTCAGAGTAAAAGACTGCAACAGCTACAACCATTATTCTGTGATTACAGTACCTGATTGGTATCTTACAAAGAACTGAGAAGAATCAACACATTTTCTGGTCTGGCCACTTGGCATTGGAAAAAAAAGCTTAGAAGACTGGTTTTTTGTTTTTTGTTGTTGTTGTTG